ATATCTTTTTTTTTTTTCAAATTTGGCACAGATATTCACTTGGACTCAGATTAGATTTTGGTGGTCAAAGGTCGAGGTCATTGTGACCTTGCATATGTTTCAGTCTTATGAAAGCAATATCTCAAGAAGGCCTTGAGGGAGTCTCCTTAAATTTGCCACAAAGGTCCACTTGGACTCAAGAATGAACTGATCTGAGTTTCATCATCAAAAGTCACTGTGACCTCACAAAACATGTTTTTGGCCATACCTCAAGCATTCTTATGTAATTATGACAAAATTTCACAAAAATGTCTCATAGGATGAAACGAAGAAATGCTGACATTTTCAAAAGGTCAAAGGTAAACACTGTGAACACTGTAATGTTCTCCAAAAACACTTTTCTGGCCATTATTCAGCATCATATCTCAGGAACAGAAGGGGAGATATTTGGTGAGCTACTGAATTGGTGAGACTAATCTTGGGTGTCCACCTTGAAACTGTGCTGATTGTGCGGATCTTCTGCGATGCCAGGGGGTCCATGTTTTCATGGACATGGATGCAAACTGTAAGTGCAACTTGACAGTTGTGCAGAGGCATACAACTGTCTAATTGACTAATGGAGACAACGATTTTTTAAACTGGTCCAGTACTAAGCAAGAGAACTTCAGCCAGCAGCCATGAAAACAGGCTGTAATCAAAGTGCATGTTTGCACTGTCAGTTTACATCTACTGAAAGTGTTTGTTTTTGCCACTGACAGGGCCAGATTGATTTTTTAAGTGTCCAACAACATTATGGAAAGGATCCCAAAGGAGACAGATCCTTTTTGTTTAACTAGAAGCAGCCCCAAAATCACTATCGCCAAACCCACCAGACTCCATTTGAATAAACAGTCATTTCAGCATGTATGGAGTCAGAATATTTTCACATCTAACTGGATGAATCAGAGGTTGTATTTCAACCAAACCAGAGATGGTGATTGTTGGAACAGTGGAGAGATGAAGTAATACACCTTTTATGAGTTTCATTCTGTTTCTCTCAGCTTTAAATTAAGTGCGCTTTACGATGATAAAATTGGTGTTCATTTAAATAGAATCTGTTGGGTTTGGCTGTTTGTGTACAGCAAAAAGGATCTTACTCTATGACAACAAGGTCTATCTCTGGCAAAAAAAAAAAAACATTTTAAGTGAATGTAAATTGACGGTGCACAAATGCCCCGACTGGTTACGTTACAGCCGGTTTTCGCCACTGCTGGCTGCATCACTCTTTCTCAAATAAGTGACTTGTGATAGACACATAAACATAAGAAAATACGGTCCAGGTTAAAATACCAGAGGTACCCTTTAAAATCTTGCTTATTCTTACTCTAATTACATTTTAAAGTATCCCTTAGTGGAAACTGGTTGATAGCTGGTGGTAACTACTTTAACTGAATCAGCTAGAAAACATGTGAAAATAAGGCCCAGGTAAAATAATACTGAAGTTACTCTTTAAGGGAAAAACTGCAAAATAAAGTGTAAAACGTAATGCTAGATTTGTGTAGCTGATAGCATTTATAGAAGCTTACAAGTAAATGCAACAAGTTAACTCTGTTCTTGAGGTCAAACAAATCCAAATTAACTGTGTGTGTCACTGTAATGTGGAGTTGATGTTGTTGGATTTCTAACAAACATCCAAATTACATCATGTATTGACATCATGGCTGTTCTCTCACACGCCAAAGAATCTGTTGATTCATTTTGCGTGTGTACACAGCAAAGATAAATCAAACCCTGCTCCTCATCATTCATCATCAGTCATCCATCCCCGTCTCCATCCGTCATACCCTCAGCATCATTAGCAGGCATGCAGAAAATACACTGTGTTATCAAAAGGATAACATCTCAGCAGCAGTTTGTCATCACAAGGCTCGGATGTTAGTCAGTGCAGAACTTTATCAGCAAACAGTGTGAAGTACAAGAGTGTGTTTGAGAATATTATCTCTTACAGGATGGCAGGATATTACATGTTAGCTGAGGAAAACAGACACTGTACTGCTTTCATATCGGAGAGAGGAGTGCTGGAGAGGCTGTATCCATGAGTGTGTGTTTGTGTATGAAGGGTTATGGGTGAGCATGCACAGACAGGCACACGGGACATCCCGTCGCCAGCGGCGACCAGAAGCCTTGATTTACCACATAACGGCGATCAGACACACATTCTTCTATGTGAGAAGTAGATAGGCACTGCAGGAGAGCACATGCACGAGCATGCACAAACACACCCACACAGACACGCACTCACGCACAAGGAGAGAGGCTTTGATGTTCAGTGCTACATTTGTTCTTGGCATTTCAGAGGTGGAGAAGGGATGAGAAAAAGGGAAAGGAATTCACAGAGGAAAATCTCATTTGTAAAAGAGACAAAAGTGTTTGCAGCGAGCAAAGGGACGACCACACACATGCAAAATAAACTCTAAACACCAGCACACCAAGTGGGCACACATTTATTTGATTTCCAAAGCATTCCTTTTCTCCTCTCACATCGCATTGTTTGAATAAAATCTAGATTTCTGTGATGCCAACACCTGTTGTGCTGCTCTCTCTGTCTCCCCCTACAGGAGAGAGCATCAACCCTCGTGTGGCCGGGCTGATTGGTCGCAGTGGGCCTCAGAATAAACAGCCCTTCATGGTGGCCTTCTTCAAAGCCACTGAGGTGCACCTGCGAAGCATCCGCTCAGCGCAAGGGGGGGCCAAGCAGCGTAACCCCAACCGCTCCAAAGGGACAAAGAGCCAAGAGGCGCTGCGAGTGGCCAATGTTGCAGGTAATCACGCAATGTGTGTGTGTGCGTGTTGTATATAGTCTACACTGATGTATGTGGTTGTGTTGTTCTTTTGTTGGCTGAGCGAGGAATCCATGGAATGGGCCGCAGATGACTGGTCGGACCATATGTGAATTCTCCAAACATACAGTGTGCACTCACTGGCATGCAAACACATGTATCCACAAATACACAACACATCCGGACCGACAAAAGTATGCCATTGGAGCTGATGTGATTGTTGCAGGACAAAACAAGCGATGCATACTCGGGGCCTTTGTTTTAGAGGTGTGAGCGGGCTGTGTTTATGTGAAGCGCTGAAACATTAGACTGTAATGCCTGAGCTTCAAATATCCCTCTGCTGTCTTTGTTTATTTACACAAGCATTACATAGCAGTTGGGGCCAAGTTCCCTGCATGGAGGTAAGGCAGCGCAGGCTTTTATGGCAGAACACATCTGCGGTGTGCTGTGGGGCAACCGGGGCCACAACACATGGACCAAATGGGCCTGTTTGGAACTTTGGATACCAGCGGTCTTTAACTGGATGATGAGAACCAGTCGCTCATGATCATTTCCAATGTGAACCACTCTCAGGAACTAATGTACCACAGAGCCCCAGAGGTCACCAGAGGAAGCGAGAGAGATACCATTAGATAGAAAACAGACGATTCTTTTTTTTTTTTTAACACGTGGATCGGGGTAAAAGGGGGAAAGAAATGTTGAAATGAGTGAAGAGAAAGGAAAGAGAGTAAGTTATGAAACAAGGGGCGAGCCTGCTCTGTGTGCACATCTGTTCCATCCAGTGGAAACTCAAGCCCAGCACAGTGACCTCTGAGCAGGGTGGCCCATTCATTTGAAACAATTACCAAACTGCTGCTGTATCTGGAGGTGATTTCCTTCAGCCATTGTTTAAACGTTGATGTTTTGTATGAGGATTCTGTTTAGCTCTGTTCTTTATCATCTCTGTCTAATTGGGGTCTGAATGCAGTAAATAGTCACTCTCGTAGCTGGATGGCATAATAGCGCATGTGTTGAGGTATAATCTCTCTCTGTGTATGTCTTCTTCCTCAGAGAACAGCAGTACTGATCAGAAGCAGGCGTGTAAGAAGCATGAGCTCTACGTCAGTTTCAGAGACTTGGGGTGGCAGGTACGGAAAACATTCCTCTCCCAGATAGCCCAAAAGTGCTCGCCCCGACAGAGGCCTAAATCAGACACTCCAGGTTGCAGGTCTCATCCCAGAATCCTGATAAATGACACACTAGATTCAGCTCACATAATACTTTAGCCCAAGGGTATGATTTCCACAGGGGACAAGTCCATCACACTCTTACAGTGTCAGCCTGATGCTCTCACTAAAATCTCTCTGAACTGTGTCCTTTTACTCTCTCACTTTGAGGCAGTTTCATTTGTAACCATACGCTCAGAGCAATGAGCTTAAAGGGACAGTTCACCTGCAAAATGATTCATCGTGTATCAATTACCCACGGTGTTGTTGTTGGGTTTTTTTTGCATGCCTCCAGGATCCAAAAACAGTCAACGTTCTTCATGAATTAAAGTCATAGGGGTCCACATTTACCAAACGCAAAACAATTTCAAAGCATGAGCATTCACCTGCGTATGAGCTCCACCTGAGCAGAGTTACAACGCACGTGCGCCACTCTGCCATACATGAGACTGTTTGTAGTGACATGTTTCAAATCATAATTTTTTTTAGCACTGTCGAGTTATTTTGGTTTTCAGCCTCAATGTCTGCCTAAACTCGACCGACACAGGGCACTGAACAACTCCATTCATTTTTCCTTTTCTTAATGAAGCAGTTGGTTTCCACACACATGAAACAGTCAATAATATGTTGATAACCTTAAAGAAAACACCTTAAAATCATGTTGATTAAATCAGTCAATTCAATCAGTAGAATCAGTTAACTGAAATCTCTTATGTTCATCACTTTAGTTAACTCAATAAACATATTTGAAAAAAACATATATTAATCATAATCAGACATCATGTGTTCACAAAAACAAACTCATAATTGAATCATGTCAACTTAAACCTTTAAATGATATATACACCACTGAATTATAGATTCTGCTATCAAGCTAATCAAATGTAATCCATCAACAGAATTAACAAACTAAACTCTTCAGCCACCACACACAACTCAGACATAAACCACAAACACATGAAATGTTAGGCTAAATAAGGTGAACACATATTTTTAACCTGATGAGACGCCATCACACAAACCCAAAAAATAACCCGCACTGAATGAATAAGTGAAACTACTAATGGATTGCTCACTTTCCCTAATAAGCATCACATCTCACAAACATATGTTTTACTTGTGCAGATCAAATTAATTATTACCAATCCAAAGCATACCAGTAGCGTCTCTGCAGTCATCTAAGCATTGATGCGTCAAACATTTCCCTGGCTCTCAGGCCCCCGCCCCCCTCTCCCTCTCTCTCTCTCTCTCTCTACCTGCATGCCAGGGGCCTGAGTTGCCACACCTATTCAATTAATATCCTCCACGCTGCCCTCTTGTGCTACTTAATTGTTTGCGTTTTTCAGATTTTCTTTAACAAATTTAGGTAAAGCGGTTGGTAATCGATATACGAATAGTCATTTTGCGGGATTCTTTGAGATTTTCTTTTTGTTATTTAGGCATACACTGTACAGTCTTAACCGGTTTAACATCTGTGTGAGTCACACTGGTGTAATGTTACAGACTTCTGCAAGCAAACAAACTTCTACCTGCCTCTGAGCTTTGAAACTAATCTTTATTGACAATTGTCAATAGCCAGAACAGTGTGCAGTGGCTGAGAGGCTGTTTCATTGTCTATTGAGCACATAAATTGTGAGGTTTTGCAACAACATTTCTAAAATGCCACAGTGTATGCCCAGCTTACTTCGTCATACCTCTAAGTGTGATGACTAAGGGTGTTAGGAGGGTGCAGGAGATATTTTGTCTGAGGGGCAGGGCCAACAGTGTCAACTTTATAAACCCCTAGAAGAGCTTCAATGTGTCCCCCTCACTTCTAAAACCTTATGTGCGACCATTGGCTCAAATCTGGCTGCTAACTGGAGCTAATGTTTAGCCTAAGTTGGCCCCATGCATGCACTGGCAAAACTGTGTCTGTATCTGTGGGCCAGATCCAGTCTCAAATTCCAGACACACCTTGAGTGTAACTGATACTGAGGCATACTCAAGGTACTTTTACACCCTGTATTTCTGTTTCCAGCACATCATACCCTTTCCACAATTCACCAACCCTAAATCTCTCTCCGTCTCCCTCCCCATTCTCAGGACTGGATCATCGCTCCAGAAGGATATGCGGCGTACTATTGTGAGGGAGAGTGTGCCTTCCCGCTGAACTCCTACATGAACGCCACAAACCATGCCATTGTGCAAACCCTTGTGAGTAACCATGAAAGCAGGGAACAAAAAACCCAGCAGTCATGTTAAGAGTCTAATCATCTCATCATCTGTCAAGACAATGCAGCCGCTGTTGGAACTACTGTATTTAATGGTACAAAGCAGCTGCAGATTGTACTTTAGAGTAAACTGTCATCAGTGATGTGACACAGGATAAGGCTTTACACATGCTTTGTGTCCCCACTACTTTGATTCAGTGTATGACCCTCAGGGTTCCTACGGTCATGAAATTCCTGGAAAAAATGTCAGAAAAACTGTTAACTAGGTCTGGAAATGGTTTGGGTTTACAGATGTTTGGGAAAAGTTTTGAATATATGTTGTATAATGTGTTTATAAAAATCTTAAAACACGTCTAACATTAAGCAAAATCAATACAAGTATTTCTAATTTAAAATATAGCGTGTGACGGTTGAAATGTCACCAGTGTCACATGTTACACATGGGCCAGACCAGCTTTGCGTCATGGTGGCATTGCAGCCGCGCCCCCTGTTGGGGGAAAACTGCTATCACATCAGGAGAGAAACAAGAAAATGCCGAAAAGCTGTTATGTAGCTGTCGTACATTAGCTCAGGATGGACCCAAATGCAGAGCAGCAGGCAGGTTGAAGGTTACCAAAAAACAACCTTTAATAGAGCTGATAGAAAAACATCAAAAACTGGCAGGTAACTGAAAATCCAAAAGAAAGAAGAACCAAAACTAAACTGAAAATCAACCAGGATAATTCGTTGAACATCAGGCAGGAAACAGAACAAGGAATGACACAAAGAACACAGGGATGAACACACACAAACTGACAAGGAACAAAGGGAAACACACAGGTACATATATATAAACAGAAGACTAATCATAAGAAGAAGACGCAGCTGGAGTAGGTGGACACAGGCAAAAGGAGGGCAATGGGGATTGGCTGACAACAAGGGTGTGATAGGGAACACTAGTGTGGAGCAAACAAGGCTTATACAGAACAGGTGTGAAGGGAAGACTCTGGGAACAGGGAAGGACTAACGAGACTGAAGGAAGACAGGTGTGATAGAAATAGGCGGGAAAACACACAAAGACAGTAAGTAAAACCAGACAAGACACCAAAGGAGAGAATATCCGAAATAAAACAGGAAACAGATAAAACATGAATGAAGAACATGAAACAAGGAACACAAACAAAGTCCACAAGATAACAGAATATAAACAGAAACCCAGGATCATGACAGTGGCGAGTTAACCACGACTTTCACACTGAAATTTGAAGCCCATAAGATGTGTGAATATTTACTGTCAGTGTGGTGAATCACAAAATGATCCTGCTGACAGTTACAAGTAATGTATGGCTAAGGCTTCTGCAGTACAGTCATACAGCACAGCATCATCAGACTGTCTCCAACTAAATCTCAGCCTGTAGATCAAACTTGCTTTTACCAGTTTGGATATTTACACTTAGCCTCGTGATACCTGGGGATCTGAGCATATATACATATCAAATATACATATGTAATTGAATCACCAGGTATCGTGTTCTAGACATTAATAATCTGCCCACTGTGTTGGGTCATTGATTCACTTGGACAGGGCAAGCGATCAGCCTTAGGGAGCGATCACACTGAGATGAAACGCTAGAAACGTGACGCCAGTAAAACCATTGTTTTCCTATGATACGGCGCATCTGACCGGCATTCAAGCGTCTTTAGATGGACAGTTTTCCGGTGTCTTTTTAGACACGGGTTTTTGTAGACGCTTCTTTTTAGACATGCGTTTTTAGATGCGCATAGACGCTGAAAAGTTAAAATATCTTCAACTTTTTGAGCATCAGACGCCAATAGCTAGCATGCATTGAATAAGCGCTTCCAGCATTTCAAGCGTCTTTGAAGCGTCCGCATCTCTAGCGTCTCATTTCTGTGTGATCACCCCCTTAATCTAGTAAGGTATCATGAACACTTAGGTTCAGACAAGGTCGCAAAACAAGTACCAGACATGTCCATAAATCAGAAGTTTGCTTAACATAAAATAAATGCCTGTCAGCTTGTTAAAAGTGTAACCCAAGCTGCTGAATTACCATTTATATGATCTTTGGCTTACGCAGCTAGTTGTTGGCATAAATGTCTGACAGACAAATACAGTCAGCAGCATGAGCAGTTTGCTTATCTGGAATTGCCAGAGAAGAGTGTGTAATAAGATATGGTTGAACCGCTATTTAGGCCCACCCATTTTAAACTACTTAAAGGTCCAGTGTTTAAGATTTAGGGGGATTTAGCAGCATCTAGTGGTGAGGATGCAGATTGCAACCAGCTGGAATTTCTCCCTGTTGGGTTGCCTTCAGTTTTCATTGTTCAGGAGGTTTTAACCAGAAGCCAGATTATCCACAGAGGTCTCTTCCTCTCCAAAACAAACAGACCTGGTTATTAAATTATAATTCCATATAAATATAAACATAAAATTCAATTTCTGCCAATAGATCCCCTAAATCCGACACACTGGACCTTTAAATAAAGTCATGGAAACTGGGTGAAATATTCTGAAAGAGTTGTGGAAGAGTTTTGAAAATTCATTGGGAAAACGTGTGGGGCACCGTGGGCTGTGTGTGATACATCCTTTTTACCTTTTGTCAACTTCATTCGTGATGTAATGATTAATTTAACATTTGAACTCCCTCTTCTCTTCCCAGGTTCATTTTATTAACCCGGAGACGGTCCCTAAGCCGTGTTGTGCCCCCACACAGCTCCACGCCATCTCAGTGCTCTACTTCGATGACAGCTCCAATGTCATCCTCAAGAAATACCGCAACATGGTGGTCAGAGCTTGTGGCTGCCACTAGGTTATCAGCATCTTAACATAGACACACACACATATGCACACACACACAAGTAGAAAGGGCTTCTTCTTGCTGTCAGGCGCCATTTGAAACATATGAAACCTGTGCAAATGATTTTCTCGTTACATTTCAAAGGCTGTCCTGAAGTAAACACGATGTTTTGTGGCTGAGCAGGACTTTCAATCAGTTTCAGACTCCTCACCACACATGCACACACACACACGCACAAACAAACACACACACACACACACACACACACACACTCACGTTTGTGCTTCCTACTGTGTATACGAGACATTAAAAGCAGTGATTGTACTGTATATTCATTCACAGTCAACAATCTTTTGTTTATTTCAATAATTGTTATTGTAGTTGATTCTTTTACTGTAGATTTTATTATATATATAAATATATTTTTATGACTGAGAGACCCGGATGGATGTTCTGAATTTCTTCCATGTACAATACTGTGTAAATATTTGTTGTTGTTGTTTTTTTCAAAGCAAGAAGTGTATTTATTTCCTAGAATGTCACTTGTGTTTTCTCCTGTATGTAATGCTGCCTGTTTTTCTTTCACACGATAACAAACACACAAACTCTGAGGGAACGAAAACAAAGTCGACAGAAAGCAACTTTGACACTAGCGTCGAGCTGAAACTCGATGCGCCTCTCCCTGCCTCACGTGTACGCTACACGCTGACGGCGGGAGGCAATTTATGACAACTTGGACCTGTGGAAATGTCTCCATATTTCATCAGTCGAAGCTGTTCCATATATGACGCACATTTTTATAGCAGCAATCAGCTGAACTGTCAGAGAGGGAGCTTTGTACGGAGCATCTTGTTCTGTGTGCGAGACGTTTTCGGGTTTATATTCCTCTGCTGTAATACAATCTGTCATATTTAAAAGGTCTATTTATTGAGAGCTGGCTAAGATGTTCTACGGTGTGCTCCGATGTCTCAACCATGTTTTACTGCTGAACTGGTACAACAATAAACTGGGAGAAAAGCAACAAAACCACCTCGAGGTGTGTTGTTTAATCTGGATGGGTAGCAGAATTACTCCGACATGCTGGTGTTGCACTTTCTGAACACGCTCCCCCGCACAAATATTTGCTTTGATTGTAGCAACATCCTCTACCTGCTGACCCGAGATCTGTCTGAGGAGTGTTTCCACGTTCAAAAGCAAACTGAAAACTTTTCTGTTTCCTCAGGTTTATGTTTAGATACTGTGTTTGTGCGTGTTTTGTGTGTGGTTTGTGCCTGTGAGGTGGATGTGGGTTTTTTTTCTGTCTTTGGGTGGGTGGATGTTTGCACATGCATTTGAATGTAAAGCAGGGGCTCTGTGTTTCCTGTCTACTGTGAAGCTAGTCACAGTTCTATTATGTTTGCTGTGGACATAAGAGGATTTCAATTTTGCAAACACTCCTTTAGCAAAGGCTCAGTACATCAAATCCAACAGTCCTGTGCTAAGTATCCATTTATCTTGTCATGCTGAATTGTTGACATTGTTATTGAATTATCGGGTCCTCTAATACAAGATGAGCCCTGGATTTTAATAACAAATAGATGTTTTTGTATCCGCCTCCATACAGCATGTTTATGTAATTTATGTCAACATACTCTGCCTCTAGTAGCCCACACAGTGTTTTGGTTGATTATAGTTTTTCTGATTGCTCAGACACCATCTTTGAAAGTACAGGCCCAGGCTGCAAAACTACACACTCAACACGAAACCTTAAACCAACCAGCAAAACATTAACATCTGTTGCAAAAATTTTCATTCATTCATTTTCTATAATCACTTATCCTCTTGGGGGTCACAGGGGGACTGGGGCCTATCCCAGCTGACACTGGGTGAGAGGCAGGGTACACCCTGGACAGGTCGCCAGACTTTCACAGGGCTGACACATAGACAGACAACCATTCACACTCACATTCACACCCTAACCCTAACCCACACCAATTAACTTGCATGTCTTTGGACTGTGGGAGGAAGCTGGAGTACCCAAAGAAAACCCACGCTGACACAAGGTGAACATGCAAACTCCACACAGAAGGGCTCCCCAACCCCAAGTTCGAACCAGGAACCCTCTTGCTGTGAGGCGACAATGCTAACCACTGCGCCACCGTGCTGCCCGAAACTTTGCATCAGCGCAGTAAATAGAAACCATCATTTTAATAAACAGACAAAGCACCATCTTGTTAATGAGTGAGGGTAGAATGGAGCGTGAGATGGATCGGCGGGTCAGTACGGCTTCTGCAGTGATGCGGGCACTGCACCGGTCTGTCGTGGTGAAGAGGGAGCTGAGCTGGAAGGCGAAGCTTTCGATTTACTGGTCCATCTACGTCCCAACCCTCACCTATGGTCATGAGCTCTGGGTAGTGACCGAAAGAATGAGATCGCCGATACAAAAGGTGGAAATGAGTTTCCTCCATGGGGTGTCTGGGCTCAGCCTTAGAGATAGGGTGAGGAGCTCGGGCATCCAGAGGGAGCTCGGAGTAGAGCTGCTGCTCCTTTGCATCGAAAGGGGTCAGTTGAGGTGGTTCGGGCATCTGATCAGGATGCCTCCTGGTTGCCTCCCGCTGGAGGTGTCCCGGGCACGTCTCACTGGTAGGAGGCCCGGGGGCAGACTCAGAACAAGCTGGAGGGATTACATAACTCGTCTGGCCTGGGAACACCTTGAGGTCCCCCAGGAGGAGCTGGAAAGTGTTGCCGGGGAGAGGGACGTCTGGGGTGCTTTGCTTGGCCTGCTGCCCCCGCGACCTGGCCCCGGATAAGCGGATGAAAATGGATGGATGGATGATGGACGAAGCACCAGCTACACATAATAATATAAATGTAAAACACTTGAGACATTTTGCTTCTTTGTGTGCAGGGCAGTGGCGTAAGGTTGTTATGATGGGCTCTAGTTTGCCCTAGTTACTAGTTATGAACACACACATGTGCACAGAGCTTTAAGCGTATGTATATTTTACCAACAATGTGTCTTACTGTGGCTTCTATGCTTTATCTGGTTGCACATTTGTCCAGCTTGTTAGTCATGAGAGATTTTGCACATAAACTAGCTGCTGTTAATCATATTGTCTCTTTACATGATTAAACAGAGACTTGATATACAACATACATATAACCCAGCAATCATCATTTCATATCTGTACATGACAATAACTGCAAAGGAAATTAGGAAATTATGAGTTTAAGTAGATATTTTTTATAGTGAAGTTATAGTTTTTTTATAGTTTATGTAGAATGAATAGACTGATACTATTTTACAAAAACAGAAAACTATGCTGGAGATGGATTTGCCTTTTTGAGGGCAAATACAGAAAATCACACCATTTTTGATTTAACATGTTCTTCTTTGAACGCGGGTGTATTTCCAGGTGGCCATCAGGCCCCTCCACCCCACAGGCCCCACTGCAACTGCACTGCCTGCACTGTCTATATTTACACCCCGTTTAGAAGAAGAAGATATACTTTATTAATCCCCAAGGGGAAGTTCAATTTTTTCACTCTGTTGTCACATACACACACAGGCCCGAAATACACACACAAGCACAAACAGGACCTATACATGCACCAAGTGGAGAGATGTCACAGTGAAGGGGCCTGACTTAATCCACATGTCTCTTTCCAATATTGGCCTCCACTCATGTCCAAACCAAATGTTTCCCCTGTGGCCTATTTATAGTGCTCGAGCTCTGATTTGTAACTGAACTCACTATTAGTCTTTTTTTACATGTGTCACTGTGGAAAGGCTGTTCACAGTTTTGCTGAGTGTGTCACTAAATTGCAAACAGAGTGTAAAGCAGTGAATTAATTTTACACTCTTACAGAAAGTGTGTTGTAGGATTACAAACTGAGTGTGAAGCAGAGAATGTGCATTCACTTTGGCACCCTTGGTTAATGCATTGGCCACAAGTGTTAAAAGGAAAGTTCAGACATTTTGAAATGCGGTTGTTTGGGGTACGTATCCATAGACAGTATATTACATACAGTAATTTCCTCACTTTCAGACAGTGATTTCCAACAGGAAAATGAGGCCGGTACATCGCTCTCTTCAAAGCCAGACTCCATTGAGAAAAACAGTAATTTAACATCGCTGAACGCAGGAGCTGCTGGTCTACTTCTGCTTCAAACTATTTCATTTGTGTTATTGTGTGACTTTGGTGTTTAATACAGTTAGTTCAGATTCACCAAAGTCACACAATAACACAAACTAACTAACCGATCAAAGCAGCAAAAAAAACAAGAAGCTCCTGTGTTCAGTGAGCTAAAATTACAGTTTTTTTCAATCGAGTCTGGCGGCATGGACGGAGAACTGGAGCTGGAGCGGGTTGTCTGATTGCAAGGTAAAGCAATAAAAATATTCTAAATATAGCATACACTTAATATGTTATTGGGTTGTTGTTTTTTTTTCACTGACCCCACCACAGCTGTACATTTCTCAGCTTCCTGGGCGGTACTCCGGCGTGCCAACATAAATCGACTGTATGTAATACACTGACTATGGATAAGCACCCCATAAAAAAAATCACTTCAAAAAAACGAACTATCCCTTTAATGGCTTCAGAGACTCAGTGTTGGTGTTTATGCATTCAAAAAACTGTGAGGAACAAACCAGACCAGTGTGTGTGTGTGTGTGTGTATAGGCAGCAACACAGGTTTACACTGCCCTCTGCTGGACAACTACACACCGTGTCTGTCCACACGCTACAGTATGAGTCCCTTTTTTTTAACAGTAATATGAGCTTTGGACTTGTACTGTATGCCTGCTCGGTATCAGTACCTGATCTAAAGAAGTGAAGACATGTTCAGTCAGCAGCAGAGAGGAGGAGGAGGAGGAGTTCATGATGGATGAAAAAAAAAAAAAACACCTTACACCCACATACTTTCATTTTCACAAGAACGTTTCGGTATGATAGTATAGCTGCGTGTGTGTGTGTGTGTGGTCAATGTGATTAATGTTTACTGGTGCTGTCCTGTTGCCCACATGCTCACTGACTCCTATGAGGGGAATGAAAAGAGAATTTTCCATTAAAAAAATATATATATATGTATATATATATATATTGTATATTATTTTTTTAGCAATTACAGGACTATAAAAGTTGGCTGTCATTCCTTTTGTTTGCTTTTGATGATTTAGTATTTTCATATACTGTGAGCAATGTTTATTTAGGAGGCTGGGTCATGATAAGAGGTGAAGATTCGCCTTCTGACAAAACATGACTTTTGCAGGTTACTCGAGTATCCACATGTCCTTATCACTCACAGACAATCTGTAATTGATCCAGTGACCTGCTCGTTTATGACCNCGCCCACCCCCACCCCCCCCCCCCCCCCCACACACACACACACACACACACACACACACCTTACTTGGAAATGATTAAACTTTCGCAGCAGCTCAGCACACAGGAGGAAACCGAAAGTATCAAATGAGCTCAAAACTTTCGCTTTCACTTCCAAGAGCGCACATAATCTTAGTTACGACTTCTGCATTTAACTTTGGCGTCCGTTTCTGTACAACTTTCTTTTTATATATATATAAACTGCATTATTTTATATGGCTTCAACATAATAATTCAACTCAGCCTAAGAGCGTCACCTGCGTCAGAATAATATACAGATTTATTTTCTCGCTCATCAGGTAGGTGTGATTACATAGTGCTCGAGCCACTGTGCACATGCATGGCTGACATTTGAAAGTGAGGGTTTTGTTCCTGTAAGAGAGACATCGGTCTGTGCTGAAGATGGAAGCCAAGATGCATATGAAAGAGTGGCTGATAGCTCAGATAGAGAGTGGCAAATATGAAGGACTGTGCTGGGAGGATGAGGAGAAGACTATGTTCAGGATCCCGTGGAAGCACGCAGCCAAGAAGGACTACAAGCAGACGGAGGACGCAGCTCTCTTCAAGGTCGACACTGTTTCATATACATGTAACATACAGCATAATGTGGACGTCATGGTAAAGTATACTTTTGAATTTGTAATGAGAATGAAATGAATCCAGGAACTCCACTCGAGTGTTGTAAAGGCAGCTGGATAAACCCAACATCCCACTTTTTGGCTGTAGCCTATCTTTATTTATTAAAGATCTACAACAAGTAAATAATGAATATGGCACAATGTAGCATGTTCAGGAACAGGTTTATAATCACATATTAGTACGCAAAATATAGTTTAGCCAGTTTATTGTCTTTCTAATCAGAAGGATTTTTAATTTCCCACACAAAAGCAACAATAATTGCCCAGCTATCTTTGTGCTGCTCTGTCGTCTGTCCTTGTAACCCTGATTATTCTCCAAGTTGCAAAGGTTTTAAATAAGACATCAGTGTTTACAATTCGTTCACAGAATTTAATTTGGTATCCCATTAAAACAGGTGAGCCTGCATCCAAAAATATTGATTCTTATGTCTTTCAAAAGTCTGAAAATACAACTGAATATTGTGGTTTAATTGGAGAAGTCTGCTGGAATGATGCGTTTAAGTCACTTCGTAGATTAGAGGAAAACACATCCTCATAATAAGAAGTGTTTTATTTCTTCTTTCTTATTATTAAGAAGTGACCTCATCTTTGCAGTGATGTATTGCGCAAGCGTTGGATACTGCTCCAAGAATAATACATGTTTTAATGTTAACCATGCGGGAAATACTGTGTCAAGAGAAACTGTCATTACTCATTTGACTTGGAAAGTAAGAGTCACTTTCTGGTTCTGAGCATGTAGGGGTTAAAAGTGCAGATTTCTCAGTGCTTCCTAACAGTCACTAGGAGGCAGGTAAACTTTAGTGAATGAGTGAGTGAGTGAATGAATGAATGAATGAATGAAGCAAGCCAAAAGACTGTTCTGCCTTTATTTTGATTCTGCTTGTTCAATGATCACAGGTGTTTAATATGGCCTACAGTAAAAATATCAGTCTTATATTTTAGTAGATAAGTTTTATAGAAAATGACTTTGTTTTTTTCATATTTGCTGAAACTGTCACAAAAATCACACACAGATAATCTGTAAGCTCCTCTTCCTTGTATAAAGCCCTTAATATGCTATAGGACCAAGCTACAGTGCTAACTCCCTTGTTCCCAAACTTAGTTATAAAACTACATTTTCCAACCTCCCCAAACAGTTTTTAATTTAATCAGTTTTTTTTGATGAATAAGCATCTGATATTTCAATCTTCAAATCCAGGCCTGGGCTGTATACAAGGGCAAGTACAGGGAGGGGAGGGATAAAGCCGACCCCACCATGTGGAAGACACGTCTCCGCTGCGCCCTCAACAAGAGCACAGACTTCCAGGAGGTCCCTGAACGCAACCAGCTGGACATCACTGAGCCATATAAAGTCTACCTTATCCAGCACGACAATGGGTCAGCCAGGCCAGCAGGTGAGAGTGAAGACAGCTGCTCCTTTTCTTCCATATCTGCTTCCTTTCATATTGTTCTTATTGATTAAATATCTGAGCAGTTGAGCAGTGTGTTGTTCTCTTTATGCTCCTCAAAAATGCACGACAATAAAAGGGTTGAATTAAAGCAAACAAAACATGGAATGACATATTTTTTGTATTAAATGGCTTCTTTTATGTGCTCTAATTATTTCCCTCCCATGTGTTGCTCTCCTCAGAGTTGCCCAAATTAAAAGATCAAGTGATCATCCAGACTAAGCGATCTGCAAAGAGCCCCAGTATCCTGGACAAACAGGTAAACTCAAAATATACAGATGAGAAGCAATAAACTGAATAAAGCTAAAGTTTTTGATCTTACAAATAGGTTTCACATTTCTTTTCTTCTCCTTCTTTTGATTGGAGCTTTTTTTTTTTAGTTTTAGAAACAGGTGAAAATCAGGGATGGAAATCAAATTTTGATGGTATAATGTTCAATACTAAAAACAAAAATGGGACAACTACAGTGAAAAGGCCAAGGGAAGACCATTTGTTCTCAGTGTCTCTGGTCAAATCTTTTTGTCTTTTGTCTTTTTGTGATGCCACCACTGTGAGTCACCAAAGAGTCAAAAATGTTCAAATGCAACTATAATGTTTGTTTAATTTCTTCAAGTGTTGTTGATGCGGGACACATTTGGGTTGTGGGAAAAATTAGTTCAAACTGATCTGATTTTATTTAAAAAAAAAAAAAAAATAGATATGATCCTTAAAATAATCATAGCTGTAAACTTTATGCTGTGTTTGCCTAATTTTGGTTTCTGTTTTTTTGCAGCCTCATTGTCAAAAGGAATCACTTCACGCAAATAAAGAAGAAGTAAAACAATTGCCTGGTAAGGGTTACACACACAAACTGGTGCTGGTCTGTAAAATGTTTATGGAGGATCTCAAGCAACTCAAGTCTTTTATCCAAGTCAAAATATTCATGTGGGCATAGTGTTGTTTGGCCTACGCTTTGAGAAGTCCAGACGGAGCCTCATCACATTTATCATACAGGTAAGGGGTTTACTATACGGTTTGCTAAATGGAGCAGGGTCAGCTACAAGTATAACTTTGGTGATCCTCTGACTTTGCCTCTTGCGCCACCATGGAGTTCACAATTACGTCACAAATCTCTCAACAGCTTTTGAATGGAACAACAGATTTCCTGTCATGACTGTGGACCTGGTGTCATCTTTTTTATTTGAGAGCCTTTCAGCTTAGTTGCATTCTTGGCTGGTTTGGGTCACTGACAGATTGGTGTATGGCCTGGTTGCAGACTAGTTGTTGGTGCCTTTGTGGTTCAAAGACAAAGTGCTCACCTATATCTAGCCTTCTATGGGAGTTTAATGCTCGGCTGCTGTGCTTCTGGCTTCAGAGTTTTTATGAGTTAGACATTAACAAGACAAACTCCTGTGTGAATGCTGTAGGGAGAAGTTTGCCTATAGGGGCTTCTGCCAGAAAAGGGATTTCTTGGTTAAGGTTAGGAAAAGGGATAATCTCTATAACCAGATATCTTTAGGCAACACATTTTGGGCGTTGGATGCATTGTGGTTTCCACTTGTAGTCTGTAGTCTGAGTAGTCCTGACCAATCATGTCAACCAGTCAAAAGAGGTGGAACGTATTGGCTGAAATGCAACTAAGAAACCTATCAGCTATGATCTGACGAAGATTTAGCTTTTTGTTAGATTTTTAAAAAATGATTAATCTGCATTAATTTGCAGAGACTCTTGGCCCCAGATTCTGCTGGATGCACTGCCTCCCCTGAAATATTGGCTGTAGCCCCCAGAGGCTTATCGTCATCAGGCTCATAGCTGATTGCTTATGAGTAGAGCTGTGTCATATCATCTCCTTCACGATTAAACTGAAGCCCTGGACTTCTCAGACTCTTTTAGTGACTTACCGCTCAGAGGGAACTCAGTCAGCGGCTCCTCTGGCAGCAGCACAGCACCTCTTCCTCTCCTCTCCCTCTCTCAACAAAAAATGACACATATGTGAATGTGTGATAGTTGTGCTATCATAACAGCCTGTCACAGGTTACAGCGTGATGATTAGAGGAGAAATGGCAGAGCATAAAGGTCCAGGTGGGAAAAAACAACTCAATCATTTAGGCTTTTACTTAAAGAAGGAAATCACCTGTTGATTTATATATACAGTACAGGCCAAAAGTTTGGACACACCTTCTCATTCAATGCGTTTTCTTTATTTTCATGACTATTTACATTGTAGATTCTCACTGAAGGCATCAAAACTATGAATGAACACATGTGGAGTTATGTACTTGAACCTGAACCTGTACCTGAAATGGTTTCCACTTCACAGGTGTGCCTTATCAGGGTTAATTAGTGGAATTTCTTGCTTTATCAATGGGGTTGGGACCATCAGTTGTGTTGTGCAGAAGTCAGGTTAATACACAGCCGACAGCCCTATTGGACAACTGTTAAAATTCATATTATGGCAAGAACCAATCAGCTAACTAAAGAAAAACGAGTGGCCATCATTACTTTAAGAAATGAAGGTCAGTCAGTCTGGAAAATTGCAAAAACTTTAAATGTGTCCCCAAGTGGAGTCGCAAAAACCATCAAGCGCTACAACGAAACTGGCACACATGAGGACCGACCCAGGAAAGGAAGACCAAGAGTCACCTCTGCTTCTGAGGATAAGTTCATCCGAGTCACCAGCCTCAGAAATCGCAAGTTAACAGCAGCTCAGATCAGAGACCAGATGAATGCCACACAGAGTTCTAGCAGCAGACCCATCTCTAGAACAACTGTTAAGAGGAGACTGCGCCAATCAGGCCTTCATGGTCAAATAGCTGCTAGGAAACCACTGCTAAGGAGAGGCAACAAGCAGAAGAGATTTGTTTGGGCCAAGAAACACAAGGAATGGACATTAGACCAGTGGAAATCTGTGCTTTGGTCTGATGAGTCCAAATTTGAGATCTTTGGTTCCAACCGCCGTGTCTTTGTGAGACGCAGAAAAGGTGAACGGATGGATTCCACATGCCTGGTTCCCACTGTGAAGCATGGAGGAGGAGGTGTGATGGTGTGGGGGTGTTTTGCTGGTGACACTGTTGGGGATTTATTCAAAATTGAAGGCACACTGAACCAGCATGGCTACCACAGCATCCTGCAGCGACATGCCATCCCATCCGGTTTGCGTTTAGTTGGACGATCATTTATTTTTCAACAGGACAATGACCCCAAACACACCTCCAGGCTGTGTAAGGGCTATTTGACCAAGAAGGAGAGTGATGGAGTGCTGCGGCAGATGACCTGGCCTCCACAGTCGCTGGACCTGAACCCAGTCGAGATGGTTTGGGGTGAGCTGGACCGCAGAGTGAAGGCAAAGGGGCCAACAAGTGCTAAACACCTCTGGGAACTCCTTCAAGACTGTTGGAAAACCATTTCAGGTGACTACCTCTTGAAGCTCATGGAGAGAATGCCAAGAGTGTGCAAAGCAGTAATCAGAGCAAAGGGTGGCTATTTTGAAGAAACTAGAATATAAAACATGTTTTCAGTTATTTCACCTTTTTTTGTTAAGTACATAACTCCACATGTGTTCATTCATAGTTTTGATGCCTTCAGTGAGAATCTACAATGTAAATAGTCATGAAAATAAAGAAAACGCATTGAATGAGAAGGTGTGTCCAAACTTTTGGCCTGTACTGTATATATATATATATATATATATGTATATAGATCCCAGAGGACATTTTTTGTATTTGGGAGCTGTTTAATGTTTAGATTTAATTTTGTTGAACTATTAATATTGTATACAGAATCTGAATCTCACTCTGAGCTACTGTTGTTGTTCAAACTAAAGAAATGAGAGATTATTTTTGTTTAGTTTTTACTTAATATTTGAAGGCAAACTGTAAAACTGTATCACTTATTTTGTTGCAAATCTATATGTTCTTAAATTATTATTATTTTTTTTTCTATTTTGTCATATTGTCAAGAATATTGTTATCGCACATATACCCTGAAATATTGTGAACTATCGACAAACTTCTCCCATGTGCCTGTGGGGACGGGCAGTAGGCCCTTTTTTCTCTATAAGGATCCGTGCTAGATGGCCTTGGTCTAATCATGAGTTTAAGTACTGTATGTGTAGGGCAGGGCTTGGGAATATTCACTTTAAGAGCACTGGTGGACATGGGCATACATACTTCCAATGAAAAAATATAAATGGACCACATTTGGTTTGTAGAAATAGGACCCAACTGCTGCCCCATGTTGTGCCCACATGTTGGCAGCAATTTTACTTGTGAACATATATGTAAAAGCAACAAAGAACAACCCCCTGTGGTGTCACAATAGACGGTACTGAGGAAGTGCTGATTGAAAAATGTCTCTATTCTGCTTTAGATGATCTGATGAGGGAGCACATGTACTGTGAGCTCACTGGGAAAAAAACTCCTCTAACCTTCATTAGCCCGACACTGACTATATCAGGTAAGCTTATGGGATTATGCACAGAAAAGAAACAACAAATTAACATGTCACCGGCCTTTGCACTGTACAGTACGACCTGGAACACAAGCTGCGTTTTGTGTGTACAGACTTCCGTATGCAGGTGGTGTTGTTGTACCTCGGCCAGAGGTTGATAAAAGTGACCACCAGCAGCCCAGAAGGGTGCTTCATCCTGCAGGGCCGCGTCCCCTTGGGAAACGAGCAGATCTACGGGACCTGCACGGCCCAGCAGCTCTCCTTCCCTTCCCCAGGCTCCGTATCGCTGCCGTCATGCATGGCCGAAGCAATGAACCGCCTTCTCTGTCACCTGGAGAGAGGTGTGCTATTATGGGTGGCCCCAGATGGGGTGTTCATCAAGCGGTTCTGCCAGGGCAGGGTGTACTGGAGCGGTCCCATGGCCCAACACACTGACCGGCCCAACAAACTGGAGCGAGAAAAGACCTTCAAACTGCTTGATATACCCACATTTCTCAATGGTAAGGCAGTGTATGCAAACTAAATAAAAAACAACAAGCTACCAGTTAGTCATTTACATCTGTCAGGAGCAGATTATGATTTATTCAAAGAGAGACAGATTGTTTGGGATACTTTATTGTTTTGCTCTTTTCAAAAAGGCAATATGTCTGCATGATCAAATCAGAATATTCCAATATGAAATGTTTGTGTACAGAGCTCCAGAGCTGTTTACAGGGGAAGGGACCGACACCTTCTTATGAGATTGAGCTCTGCTTCGGAGAGGAGTATCCAGACCCCATCGTCCCTAAAACCAAGAAGCTGATCATGGCGCAGGTGGGTGGAAAAGTAGCCAAAAATTGTAGGGAAGCAACTGATAATTACCTGTCTCTCATGGCTGACAGTGATAAGATAAGCTAAGATAAGATAAGATAATGTCACATTTTTGTATTCTAAAAGGAAGTTCATAACATGCAGTTTATGCAAACCTGAGGGAAAGAAAGGCCAAGATGAGCAAAGATGTATGATTTAATATAGGCCAAATCATCGTGACGTCGCGTTAACACTTCTAAGTAGCCAACTGCCAATTATTTTGAATTGCAGAGATATGTGAAATCGACAAACTTGTTTATTTCTGTTGTCATTTTCAGCCATAACTGTAACATTAACACAGTGGTCTATTGCTGTCATCTTTGATAAACCAAATCTACCAGCTCAATAGCTGAGCAATATTTGCTCTGCTTTACCAAAAGTTCCCCGTTGGAAAGGGCTGCCTGATGCCAAGGTAAAGCCGTAAAAATACTTTAAATACAGCCAACACTTTATCTGACATTGATTTTTTAGGTGGGCCTTTTCTTAGGTGGCTAAAAACTAGCCAATTGAGGCTGAGTTTGCTCAGTGTCGTTTCATTTTATGTACATGATGTGGGACTTTTCTACCACCAAGTTATTGTGCAGTAAACACTGTGATTCGGTCTATTTCGATCTAATCTTACTGACAACACTATTGTTAACACAACAAAACAGTTCTGACTCTTCAATTGCTCCATTTGTTTGGTAAAGTGCACCAAAAAACTTGCCAGACATACTTTGTCCAACCTTTGTAACGGCAGCAACAGAAAGTTTGCTGAACCAGCAAAGTCAGGCAGTCTGGGATCAGACCCCCAAAGGCAGAGTCTTCTTCCTCTTCTTCTTCTTCTTCTCTATGTTAACTGGTGGATCACAAACAAGATTTAAAGGTGCATACTGCCACCAACTGTATGGGAATGTATAGATGCTGCAGCTGTTAAGTCAAAGCAATTCGGCTTTGAATATCGTCTCAATTTATCGCATATAACTTAATTATTGGAATAATTTGGATGTTTTCCATTACTGGCTGATAATTAACTGGCCTGATACATATTATACATGCCTAAAAAAATGTTTTTAACGTCAACTTGTCTTGTATATTTACCTTGAATGCATATGTGTAGAATTTGGTTTGTTAGAAAATTATCAGTTTTTTTATATTTGCCTGTAAATCAAGGATTCAGTTCAAAAAATGCTGTTACCTTCACATTTATACCTCACAAGGACTATCAACACTGTTGAATGCTACCTTTAGAATTTCTTTTTCATTATTACATTAAAAAATGTTCAGCACTCTGAACCCAAATTGCCTCTTCATCAGGCACAGATTCCTCTTCAGCAGCACATACACAAAAGGATTCACCTGTGTTTTGTGCATTCTTATTATCCGAAAATTCTCCTGTCGCACTCTCTGATACCTTCATTTGTATTTGGAACTTTTGTTGAAGTGTTTCTATCAAGTGACAAAGTTGCATTGTGTGAAGGGTTTGATCCACTGTGTGAATTTTGTGAATGCCAAACAACCATGAGCTTGCAAAGTTCTATGTGATCTTTATGACATGTTGAAAGGCGTGTTCAACTTTGTGAATGCTTCCTGTCAGCAGTATTCTCACTCACCACTAGAGGTCCTTGTAATCACACTGATGGTGTACTACGCTGTGTGTGTCCTGTTGGCCAGGTGGTGCCCTTGTTTGCAGTGGAGCTGCTGCAGAGGTTCAACTTGGGAGAGACTGAAGAGATTCAGCGGCCGGTTCTCACCTCCAACACAGAGGGAGAGAAGATGTAGGAGGACAGGGAAAGCTACCCTGCAGCACGGTAGCCATGAACAATATACAAGTGGATTACTGAAGCTTTATTCCTGCCCTGTCATCACCAAGAAAGACATCCTAAGAGCAAAGCAAACAATACAGAGTATCGTCAGTGATAATGTATATATGATGATGATACGATGGAGGTGTTGATTTGTAGACCTTTGCGCAATACATAAAAGGAAATTCTTGATCATTATTTTTTACCTTTTGTTTCCTGTTCATCATGCAGCTAACTGGCAAGAGCTATCAGCTTTTGTTCAGCTAAAAATGTTGTTTGACCCAATATGACATGCTGATAATATTCTACTAATGGAAAAAAAGGCAGTTGTTTTTTTTTAACCTCACGCTAAGCATCTGTACTAAATGATAATTTAAGTGATAATACTTTTTACCACATGCGGAGAATAAATTCACACCTGTAATTAAATCTATAAAGCTTTTTTTCCTTTATTTCTAGCGAACATCATATAACAGATTCACAATTTTTAAAAATATACATTTTTGTAGCTATAACATTTAAAAAGAAAAATCAACAGGTAAGGTTTTCTTTTTGAAAATAAAATAGAAAAACAAACACAAAAACTAAAGTGAGAGAGTGTGCTGAATCAGAAGAGATACCCGTATCTGAGTTTAAAATACTTTCATCATTTTCCCTGCCTTCAAACAAATACAGTACGTAAAAAATGAGATGGGAACAGAAGCGTACAGTACACAGGGGGTCAAGAGTATTCACAAAGCATCATGTTCCAACGTGTTATTAGCACCATTACTCTTCAGCCATACTGCACTTTTTTACTCTTTCCATCATTCAGTTTTTAATGGAAAAACACCATGAGTGTCGAGGCGATGTGGCACAGACCTGTCTGTGTGGGTGGGATTGTCTGTTACGCAGTTTTCATTAGTGTTCTCCCTTTCTCAGAGATAATGTTAAGAACATATTGGAGGGTAATGCCTTGACGAACAATCATTCGTTTGAAACGACTCCCAGTGATGAGAATAAAAAAAGGCGAAGAGTTGCTCATACATTCACCTTGCCTGCCCAGGCCGACTCGTAGACGTCGGCTCAGAAGCAAGAAAACAAAATTAAAAAAAGAAAATGCATTGCGAAATTGACAGAGAGATTGCATTAAATCTGTTTAGCATATTTACTGTATATAACATCTGTAATGTAATATATATAGTCAACTTTTGTTCATATATATCTGCACTTCTTCAATAGCGTTTACTTTCATAACACTGATTGAAAATCGATACCCTGCAGAAAACACTGTCAGTAAGTAGGTGTGTGGGACAACCATTACAAAAACAGAGTGAACACAGACAAGTGCTTGATTGTCTCACTAAATGTCTTCAGTGTGTCTGTAAGGAGCCATCCAGGGATCGTTCAGCTGCTGCTCCTTTCAGGGCTGTGCTAAGTAAGGTTGAGGAGAGGAGAGGAGAGGAGAGGACAGGACAGGACAGGAGAGGAGAGGAAAGGAAAGGAAAGGAAAGGAAAGGAAAGGAAAGGATGCACCTGGATCAGACTAGGGTGGACTAGGGAGGTTAATATTTTGGGCAGCAATGTGGACACCCGTAAATTGCGTTTTCTATTGTTTTTTTTTTAATCCTTCCCTGCAACCCTACCTTGAGGTCTCTCCATTGTTTGTCTTGGTGGGTGCAACAGAGACAAGGAGGGTGTGTATGTGCTTATGTGTGTGTGTATGTGTGTGTGTGTGTGTATGCATGTATACATTTCCAAGTTTCTACTGCCACTTCATTAGCTTGGAGCCATGAGGTAAATCCAAGAGGCTTTCATCAGTTCCAGTTGAGGAAAGGGTATCCGGGGCAGACCAGCGCCGTTTGCGTGGACGCGGCTGCTCTGGGAGAGCGGGAGGCTCCGCAGCCAGAGTGCGTGGAGGGGCCGGCGCGGTAGGAGGCGGGTGGTGGGGTAAAGGGGGAGGAGGAGGTGGAGGTGGCATCTCCTCCCTGTGCGAGCTGCTGGGCTCTCCCGCAGCCCTTGAGGGGAGTTGCGTGCGATGGGCCCTGGAGCCGATACGCGTGTGTGTCCGGTGGGTTTGGGTGGGTGTAGGGGTGAGAGCCAGGCAGATGTCCCCCTCCATGAGCTGGCGGCAGGGGAGGCCATACAGCTGCGTGGTTCTCTGAGGGCAGCAAGAAGACCAGCCTCGGTCCTGTACAAAGAACGGATACTCCACCAAGACCTTCAGTAACTCCTACACAAAACCACAACATTGTTACACACTCAACCAGAAGGTCTCTCATGTCTGTCACTTATTATCACACAGTCTGACTTTAGTGTGTAATATCAGGAGCAATATAAGAAGTTACAGGAATACTTCACTGCTAAAATGACCAGTCATATATAAATAACTCACCCTGTGTTATATTGAATTTGTCAAGAAAAAAAGGTTGTTCTTGTATGCCTCCACAGTGAACGAAGAATCCAAAAAACAGATAAAATTCTTGATGAATTTAAGTCATGTGGGTCCTTGTTTAACACCAGCAAAACTACATAAAAACATCCATTTACAAACTCTCATACAACTCATGTACTCCCCAGACAGAGAGCCCTAACCAACAGGGACCTGAGCTCATCTATGCTCTCTTTAAAGCCAGACTCCATTGACAAAAACAGTAAATTTACTTTGCTGAACATAGGAGATACTGGTCTACCACTTCCTCAATCTGTAGTTTGTGTAGACTAAGCCTTTAAAACACCTAAGTTGCAACAAACAAACTGATCGGGGCAGCGATAGCCCAGCAGCTCCTGTTTTCAGTGAGGTAAAATTACTGTTACTGTCAATGGAGTCTGGCTTTAGATAAGAGCACAGAAAATTTTTTACTTTCAATTTAATTTCCCATCAGAAAGGGCTGTCTGTTTGGGAAGTACTGAGCATACCACTGAATAAAGTAAAAGTCTTTTGTGCTCTGTGCTCTTATCTAACGCCAGACCCCATTGACAAAAACAGTAATTTTACCTCGCTGAACACAAGAGCTGCTGGTCTATCGCTGCCCCCATCAGTTCATTTGTTTGCGACTTCACTGTATTAAAGGTTTAGTCTGCATTCACCAAAGTTACAAAGTAACACAAACAGACAACAGATTGAGGCAGTGGTAGACCAGCAACTCCTGTGTTCAGCAAAGAAAAATGACTGTTTTTGTCAATGCTGGATGCTGGTCTACCACTTCCTCAATCTGAAGTTGTTTGTGTTAGTATGTGACTTTGCTGAATTCAGAGTAAGCCTTTAATACACCAAAATTGCAAACAGTGAGGTAAAATTACTGTTTTCTGAATGGAGTCTGGCGTTAGATATAAGCATAGAAAAGTGTTACTTTAAATTTCCCATCAGAAAGGGCTGTCTGTTTGGGAAGTACGGAGTATACGACTGGATAAAGTAAACTTTTTCTGTGCTCATATCTAACACCAGACTCCATTGACAAAAACAGTAATTTTATATTGCTGAATACCGGAGCTGCTGGTCTACCACTGCCCTGATCAGTTCAATTGTTTGCGACTTGGTCTGAATTCATTAAAGTCCCATAATAGCACAAACAAACTATAGATTGAGACAGTGGTAGACCAGCAGCTCCTGTGTTCAGTGAGGTAAAATTACTGTTTTTGTCAATGGAGTCTGGCTTTAAAGGGAGCATAGTTCAGGTTCACGTTGCTAAGGGCTGTCTGTTTGGGAAGTACTGAGCATACGACTGGATACATGAGACTTTGGTTATACTGCACATGTATTCAACATAACACAGAGTGAGTGACTGATATACAGTGGTCATTTGGGGAGTGAAGTACTTCTTTAAATCGATGTTTTCACCTGAGAACATCTACAGACTAATCTGTGAGTGATTTGCATTAACGCTCATCTCGTCATGCACCTATTCATTAAGTTATTTCTGATCATGCTGCTCAAGTGTAAGCTGAAGCATATATCCAAAGAGAAAGCTGACCTGAGTGTTGCGGTCTGTGAGGTGGACCTGCAGGTGGCTGAAGCCCTGTGCACTGCTGGCTGAAATCAGGAGCACGGTGCAGGTGCTGAGGTGGAACTCTGGGGAGGTATCTGCGCTCCTCAGGAAGTCCTCGGTCCGCAGCTCCTCCACCCGCTTCAACCGCCCGCTGGCCAACTCAATCAGAGAACCCTTGGTGAAGTGAGGTAGGAGCGCAGGGGGAGACGGGTGAAGGGCCGGGGGTGAGGTGTGATGATGGGACGGAGATAACTCTCTCCCTCTGTCTCTGTCTCTTTCTCTGTCCCGTCGTCTCTCACGCTCACTGTCTCTTTCTTGGTCTTTGTCATGTTGTAGGTGCTTCTCTTTGTCTTTAGCTCGCTCCCTGTCCCTTTGTAGGAGTTTTTCTCTGTCTCTTTCTTGGTCTCTGTCCCGGTCTCTTTGCGACCTGTCATGGCTGTTAGGCAGACCCAGGGGTGAGTGTGGTGAGTTCCTTAGATTGTGCTGCCTGGGTCCTGGCTCCCTGTGCAGGTTGTACAGAGCTGTTCCTGAGGGGCTGTAGAGCGGGTAGGCCTGGACCTGAGGGCTGGGGTGGCACACTGATCCCAAGGAGTAGTAGATCTGGGCTTCAGCTGGTGTGGCCCCTAGGGGGTCCAATAGTCCCCCTCTACCTGCCCTGGGAACTGGTCCGAGGGGATGGGGACTGGTTGAGAGTAAATTGGAGCTGGTCTTACCTATCCCATGCGGATGTCTGTCCTGCAGTGAGGAATGTGGCTCAGGGCCCTCCTGAGCTTGAGAGTCTGACAAAAATGGCCCTCCAGAATGAACGCGTGATGTTATATCCTCCTGCTGTCTCCGTCCACCGTTGGTATGGGAACTGTGTGGACTAATGTCCAGACGTGTTCTGCTGCTATCGTTCCCATATTCTCCTGTGAGCAGAGGCCTGGAGGTTGAGGCAGTCCTGCTGCCTGGTCCGTCCAGGCCATTGGGCCTCTTGCTCAGGTATCTGTGTCTGGCTTCAACAAAGCTTGGATCTTGGGGGAAGGGAGAGTGGTGGCTAAACAGATATGATGGGGAGAAGAGAGAGGAGCTGTTGTCCCGCCTGCCACTGTTAATGTAGGACCATATCTCTCTAGAATCAGCTGGGAAGGGAGTCTTAAAGGAGGAAGCGGAGGAGGAAGATGGGGAAGGTGGCAAGGAGAGGGGCCCTTCCCCTCTGAGCCATCTGGAGTGGTGGGGCAGGGGTGAGGAGAGAGGATCATCTCTCCAGGCAGGAGAACCTGAGCCCCTCCGCTCGCCAACCTGCCCCGGGAAAAGGGGGAGAGAGACAGAGGGAGAGTAGCTCAGGTGCCATGGTAGGGGCAGGGGGAGGCCTGGTGCTGGAACAGGAAGGGGTGGAGGAGTATGTAGGAGATGGGCGTTTGGGTTAATCAGAGCTCGGTCCCTGTCACCGGCCTCCCTCCCTCCGTCTCCTCCCCCTGC